TGTGAATTCTTTGGGGCACCTTATACTTGGCCTAGGTGGGCCAGTGATTTCCCAGAAGAAAATCTCGTCTCCGAAAATAACTTGAACGGGGCTTCTCAAAAGATAGATCAGTATTTCCCTACCCACCAGAAGAAGGTGCCATTGATTTAAAAAGTTAAAGATTTACCAGATGTGCTGTTAGTCATCTGAGTTGTGGATGATGAGGAAGGCATACCTGTGATCCGCTTTGTGTGATGCCAGAAATAATTCATGAAATCATAGAATGCTTTGGGATGAAAGGCACCTTTAAATGTTGTCTAGTCCAGCCTCTCTGTAGTGAGCAGGGGCATCTTTAACTAGATTGGGTTGCTCAGAGCCCTGTCCAGCCTGACCTGCACGAATTTGCCATTGATGCTACCCACTTTACCTTTCATCTTGGAATTGCAGCTTCTGTGATCCACATGGTAGTACTGGGGCTGCTTTGGAATATATGGAGTAATGCCCTTGCTGTTTGAGGGGGTACTGCGAGGCAGATCCTGCTACTATAGCCAATGTATTGCGTAGATAAACCTTTCAAGAAAACAGCTTCTGCTAACACACTGTGAAAGTGATTCTTAGGGTTCTGATCCAGTCTCGCCTATGACTAAGTGTGCATCCAGTGATAATCTGTCTAGATAATTCGGTAATGTTGCTGTTATTGCAGAGTAGAACAGAATTGAAGTTCTTTCAGTTTAAAGGTTTGTGTTTTTATTTCCCTCCTGATCTCTTGGATTTCTTTGCAGCACCAAACGTTTAATCGTTGATGTAATCCGCTTCCAACCAGGGGAGACACTGACTGAAATCTTGGAAACTCCAGCTACCTCAGAGCAAGTATGAAGTTGTTTACCTGTATTCTTTTTAGACTAGGAAATTGTCATCTGCTGTCTGTCTGTCTGTCTATCTATCTATCTATCTATCTGAGTGGGTATACTTGGGAATCTGTATTGCAGTGAAGCTGTCTCCAGTGATGCTGGAGCAGTGTGTAACAACAATAAGGAAAGAATATAATGGAAATAAATTGTATGTATGACTCTTAACTCCTGTGGTAGCAGCTAGAAACTAGTTATCTAGAAGACCATTTTAGATAGCAGGTAGGCGTCTGTTGATTCTTGTATGTGCAACATGTTCATCAAACATGGATTCATTTGAGTCAGTACAGGAATGACCGAGCCACACTCTTTGACTGATGTTATGTCAGAGTTCAGGCAATCCGTTTCTGGCTCTGTCTCCTTAAAATTGATGTGCTTATGAAATTTTGTTTTCTTTTTCTAGGAAGCAGAGCATCAGAGAGCTATGCAGAAACGGGCCATTCGTGATGCTAAAACTCCTGATAAGATGAAAAAATCTGTGTCTGTAAAGGAAGATGGCAACTTAAATCTTCAAGAAAAAAAAGATAAAATCAAGACAGGCCTGAAGAAGTTAACAGAACTGGGGACAGTGAACGCAAAAAATAAATACCAGGAATTAATCAATGACATTGCGAAGGTATGCCAGTAAGTGGTTGGTTTCCTAGTAATCATAGTGGAGTTTTCCCACAGTTTGCAGCACTGGCATGAGTTCCTAGGAAGAGTAAGTTTTGTAGTAGCTAAGTTACAGACACAAAATCTACCTTTTGCTGCAGCATTTCAACCTCTTGGTATTTGCTAAGTCCTTTTTTTGTGTTTTCTCAAATGACAAGGGGCAATGGGTACAAGCTGGAACATAGGAGGTTCCACAAAAGTATTACGAAAAGCTTTTTCGCTGTGAGGGTGCCAGAGCCCTGGCACTGGCTGCCCAGGGAGGTTGTGGAGTCTCCTTCTCTGGAGACGTTCAAAACCCACCTGGACACGTTCCTGTGTGACCTGCTGTAGGTGATCCTGCTCTGGCAGGGGGGCTGGACTAGATGATCTTTTGAGGTCCCTTCCAACCCCTGACATTCTGTGATTCTGTGACTATTGCCAGAATCTCAGGCACTTGAAGGAAAAGCGTTTTAACTTGGAAAGTCGTCATGTGTGATCTTTTTTTCTGCTCTTTTTCACTAATTTAAGCAGCATCTCTGCAAACTTACACAAGGAAGTTTTGTCCATAACTTAAAGACATCCTGACAGTTGTTTTTATTTAATATGCCCATTCAAGAATACCTAAACAATAAAGGGGAGAGCTGAGAAAAACTTGTAAAAGTGATCTAAAACTGTTGTACGTTGCTGTGGTGACAATGTGTGTTCTGTGATTTATTTCCCCAGTAGTTTTTTTGCAAACATTATGTGTGTAAGGTGAGTTAATAATCACCTTTAGGAATCCAATTAGAATTGTGCTGTCGTTAACATTTATCAAAAAAGAAAATAGAAGTTCACTTGAACATGTGGTATTTTTTGCTCAGGTATTAATGTAACGTGTGCTTAAAGGTGGCCGACTGGCACAGAGAGATAAGAAGATCTGTAGTTGCTATGATTGTAGTGATGGGTTTGTAAGATGCTTTTCCTACCTAGCGGTGGCAAAATCGTTGCCTTTTTTTAGACCACGTACTGCCAGTGCCCAGTCTAGTCATTGCAGCTAGGGCAGCCTTGAAGTTTGAGACAGCAACAAAAGGTTCAAATGAACTGCTGTGTAGAGTTGGTTAGTTCTAAAAATGGTCAACACAGAGAAGTAGTGGTGACACTTAAACTGGGGCAAGTGCATCTGTGAGTTCCAGCTTGTGCATGAAGCGAGACTAAGGAAAATCAAATAGTGTGGTGCAAATACTCTGCACTCTGGTCTTGAGCAACTGAAGAGCTCGAATAACTCTTAAGTCTCTGCCTGTCTTTCTCTATGGCGTAGGATATCCGAAATCAGCGTAGATACCGTCAGAGAAGAAAGGCGGAACTGGTGAAGCTGCAGCAGACATACAGCGCCTTGAACTCCAAAGCTACTTTTTATGGGGAACAAGTGGATTATTACAAAAGCTACATCAAAACTTGCTTGGATAACCTGGCCAGTAAGGGCAAGTAGGTATCTTGGAACTGTGTCGTGGCCCTAGAAGTGCTTCTTACAGAAAGCATGTGTAGGTTGTTGCCAAGAGGAATCATAATGCCATCTTCTCAAAGCTCCTTGGCTTAACTCTTTACTGCAGTGAAAGTTCTAGGGAAATCATCTATCAGCTGTGTTAGTCACAATAGATTAACTATACTGGTTCTATCCTCTCATCCCAATAGGATTAAATGTTTGCTGTCTAAAATCTCTTTAATCATTTGACTGATCTTGTTTGTTTCGTTTTTTATGGTTATTGGTTGGTTGGTTTGGGTTTATTTCTTTTTTTTTGTTTTGTTTGTGTTTTTTTCAGAGTCTCTAAGAAACCTAGGGAGATGAAAGGGAAAAACAGTAAAAAGATTTCTCTAAAATATACAGCAGCTCGACTTCATGAGAAGGGAGTGCTTTTAGAGATTGAGGACCTGCAAGGTAACCAGTAAGTATCTTTTTAAGACTCTTTAGAGCTAAATAACCTTCTCAGAGGAAGAGGAAAAAAGGTGTGTTGAATTCTTGTCTCTTTTTTTGAACTAGTCTAGGTGCTGGTAATTGAAGAACAGAAACTCTGAGATTTGTTGGACATAGTGACAGATTGTCTTGCAGTCTTGTTCTTGCAATTTAGCATTGTTGGTAGACTTAGCGATTAAAGTTGAAGAAATTGTTTTGGCCATCTAGGCTGGCATCACTAAGGCCGAGAAACTTTTTATAGGGATCACTTTTTTTAGTTCTCTTTTTCTGGTTGTCACGAAGCAGATCTTTGATTAAGAAGTGTAACAGGATTTAAATGTGACACCCTCTTCCCACCTGCACCTTCCCTGCCACCCAGCGTCCTGGGAGCATACCTCCTGGGTGAATTGCTACTGCAGGTAATAGCTCTCACTGTTGACAAATGAACTTAAGCTAGCTCGAGTTTGTCCAGCTGCTGTTTGCTAGCCTTGAGAACTTGGTATATCTCCTGTGGAATATAGAGAGGCTGCCTGTGACTAAAAGTTGTTTTTCAACACTGAATCATATTTTGTGCACTAAATGATGAGTGGATGTGCAGCGCTAAAGTAGACTGTTTAGACTGCACAGGCTGAATTACCCTATTTCCTACTACGCTTGTGTGAAGGTGTGGTCTACAGGATGTAGAATCTTGTAGGCTTCCATGCATTGTTGTGTTGAGTCTGGTCAGCTTTTATGGTCTCATTCCAAATGGGGATATAGAATGAAGAGTTAAGAATAGAATTCTTAGACACTTATCAACAGATTTCATCTCCTATATTCTCTCGTGTTTGAGTAAGAACTACATGTTCAGGTAATGAATGTTTGTTTTTAATCTCTCAAATTTCATAGGTTTAAAAACGTGATATTTGAAATCAGTCCAACAGATGAAGTAGGAGATTTCGAGGTAAAAGCAAAATTCATGGGGGTACAGATGGAAACCTTTATGTTACATTATCAGGTAAGAACTGTCCTATTAAATAGTGGCATATAAATTCCACTTGTGAAACTCTTCCTCAGAATAATAGGATACGTTTTCTGCCTGAAAAATGCTCTCAGAACAACCCATTTGTTGCAGATGAAACAGATGCAATGCAAATAGGGAATTCAGACTACTTTTGTTTCTCTTCTTGAAAACCTGATGTCAGTTGGCGTTCTTAGTTACACTTACATGTACACATGCAAAATGAACGCTTGTGGTTTTCCACAACTTCCTGCTACAGCAGAGACATTGGGAGTCTCTGGCAGTGGTCAGCGGCACCAGTCACCACATACTGGTGTTTTTTCTGCCACCTTAGAACTTACCGGTTTCTTTAGCCACACAGTTCTTAGGAGTTGTCAGCTCAGCCCTTTCATAGGCTGGACTGCTGAAACAGGCGTAGTGACAGGCCTTTTCTGAAACAGTTCCCTGTTTTTCCTCCCTCACCAGTAGTGCTATGACTGGTGTCTCTGTCTCTGCTTTCCGCTTCTGTCCCTTCCCACTCCCCACCCAACTGGGGCCTCGTTAAGTTTGTTAATCATGGATGCCTCCGGGGTCTCAAAATGGATTGTGTGCAGGAGCACCTTATATTGCTGTAAGTCCATGTCACCTAGCTTGCCCCAGGAGGGACATCTGCTTTGCCTGTGCTGTTCATGTCCTCACAAGGACTTCCCTCGTTCATTCTGGTCCTATTCTGTCAGAGTCGGTCACGAACTTCTTGATTCGTGGGGCTGTGCAAGGTCACTCACTCATTAGGAACGTGTGCTGCTATACCACTGTGCCTTTGTAGCACTGCTTTGCCTAAAAAGCAGATGTTCTGAGAGAATTATGAGGGAACTGCAGTTGGTCATCCAAGTAGAACATCAACAGTGGCATCAGTTAAAAAGACTTGCATTGCCATTGCCAAAATTTTCACAGAAAGCAGCAGAAATAGCTTTATGGTTGTTTACTTCAGCATCACCCAGGCTAGACAGCTGCACGAGCCAGATTCAGATTTTGAAGTGTGCACATTTCCCTGTAGCAGCACTGTCTGAGTGCCCTCTTCGATGTGTGTTGTTCGAGAGTGGGCTTGCTGAAAGAAATTCATTGATGAGATAAATCAGTGCACGGAGTCCTGCTGCTGCTCTGCTCTGTCAAGTGCATCACTGACAAGACCACATCATAACTAGAAGTGTTGCCTACGTAAACGCTCGAGAGATTGAATTGGCATTGTGTATGTAGTCCTAAGGGAGATGCTGTTTCTTTCTCTGCCCTAGATTCCAGGGCTCTAAACTACCACATTGAGAGCTGTGGCAACTGAGATTTTAGGAAGCGATGAAATGGTGTAATGTTTCATGGGTACTTAATATGGTGAGGCTCACAGGAGATCATTTTTAAATGTTCAAACAACCTTATAGCTACTGTGCAGATGAAAAGCCTGGAGATGACTAGATCTGAAATTTAGCCTTCTTAGAATGGTCTTCTATTTTTGTCCTTCTTCATATGTTTTTTAAAAATTAAAACAGTAAGAACTTAAATGCCTTAAAGCGGCTTTACGAGAGGATGTTCGAGTCTCTTGTTTTTCCATATTACGCCGTGGAATTCGTGATAGATATTCCTCAAAAACCTCCTGTACCACAGGGTCTTGTATATTCTCTATATGCTCTTGAGGATTCCCTGCTCATAAAGGTATTCTCTTTGGCAGGATCTTTTGCAGCTGCAGTACGAAGGTGTTGCGGTCATGAAATTGTTTGACAGAGCGAAAGTGAATGTCAACCTTCTGATCTTTCTTCTGAATAAGAAATTTTATGGGAAGTAACCGACCTCTGCCAGCAAGTCTGTGAAAGGGGAGACGAATAGAAACCTGCACATACAACTTTTAATGATGTAGCTATGTATTAGTGTATTCTGTGCTTAAATATATCAAATGTATCGTAAAGGAGGACTAAGAACCTCTTGTGAAGTGACAGCCCTGACTGAGTCTGCAGGGAGTTGGTTTCTTTTCTGTTTATGATCTTTAACTTCAACTCTGAAGGTCTCCGAAAAGCAGTTAATTTAGAATGTATTTTTACAGGGATTAAACTAATATTAGAGTATACTTAGGGCAGCTGTATGCTTTATTTGCCTAGTGGTGTGCTTCATGAGACTTGAATTCTTGTTGTCTGTGAGAAGAGAAAGCCAGCACTGTACAGCAGTCAGTATGTGTCTTCCTGAAAGCAAAAAAAAGGGTTCCCGATTGTATTCAGACTCCAATTAGTCTCTAACAGCAATGACCTCCCCCCGAAAATGGTTAGAGTCCAGGTTACTCGTCTGTTTGTGAGCTTGTGGTGGCAAGATACCCCAAGATAGTACTACTACCATCTGGGGATCAGTGTGCATCATAACTGGTTGCTGATTAAATGCTGTAGCCACATTGAACAGCTCTACTGCCTTGTTTTTCGTCATTTGTTTCTGTTTATCAACACTTCAGTAATTTACAGGACTCCTAAATAGAGGGACCGTGGAATGTATTTTCTAGTGCTTACAGATGAACAGATGCCTTTTGAGGAAGGGAAACCTAAAAAAATTCTTGAGACATGTTAATTTTTAGTGTTGCTTGCACAGTATTTGAAATGTAAAAATTACTTTTTTTCCAGTTTAGAGCAATGTTGTTGGTATCTGTATCTGATGCAATAAATATTGGGGTCTACCTGCAGACTTGTCAAGGGAAGACGACTATCTTAAATAGGTTAGTTTTTAAAAAGTTCAGCTTTTCTAGCTATACCCAAGCTCTCATTCCTTTTACTATATTGGTTGGGGTTTTTTTTTCCACTATGGTGGTGGTACTAGCTGTTTTGCTCTATCCAATAAAAACACAGACGTTCTTAAAATATTTGACTTTTAAATTAATCAGTTGCGAGAATTTTTTCTGTAATATTTTTATTTTTTAGAAAAGGATATATCTCTTAGTTGCAAATTTCCAGTTAGTCAAAAGTCACTTGTGTTGTTCATTCAGATTACTAAGTTTAAGTTGCTTTATCTCAGATATAAACTGAGCTAGTTATTTCAGCTTGACTCTTTTTTCCTCATTAAAAACACTTGAAATGACTACATCCCTGAGCATAACTTTTCCATGTCCTCTTGGAAGCAAGCACTTATTTCTATCTGCTGGTGTCTAGACTGTATTTAAATATATTTTAATGTTGCTGCATGCGCGGTCCAACCCAATAACAAAAACTAATCCTGAGAAATATATTTATGGTCCAGATCATCTGAAGGAGAGATACCCCAGAACTAGATCTCCACTGAAATCTGACAGGAGGCCTGAAATGGGTGTCTTGCCTTGGGGTTTTTTTGGGGGGAGGCGGTTTGGGGGTTGGTTGCTGATTTTTTTTGGTTTTTCAGCATCTGAATTTGCTGTATCATAGAAGGACTTATTTTAATTCCTTTAATTGGGGGATGATGAGGACAATGGTAGAACATTATAAAATCAGTGTTAGGATGGAGCTGTACTCTGAAAGCTTTTTTTTTCTTTCCCCCTTTTTTTTTTTATTGTTTTTTTTTCTTTTGGGACAGGGGCAGCCTGCTGAGGTGTGTAAGAGCCCCTGAGGAGCCCAGTTTTCATTGGAAAGTGCATTTGCTTCGGCTGTAGCTGCCTCTGGCCTGGCACATGCCCACACCCCAG